TCAGGACCAGTGGGGGCTGGTCAGGGAAGGCTTCCCGGTGGAGCCATGTGTAACTGACTCCTGAAGGACAAGGACGAATCGTCCTGAGAAAGACAAGCATCTGAAGAGGAAAGAACAGCCTTGGGCCTGGCACATTCCAAAACCTGAAGGTGCCCGAGAGAAGGGGCCACAGTGGTGGGCAGGGCTGGGTCCTGCAGGGACAGGAGAGTCCTGGTGGGAGGCTCAGACCAAAGGGGTGGGCGGGGCGGGGTTGTGCTTTGGGGAGCCCCTGTGTGCACCCTGGTGGGGGGAGGCACGTACCAGTCCATGACAGTAATGTCTGGCTGCTCGTCATCAAGAAGCTCCTCCCACAGGCCCTCGGCCAGCAGATCCACACACTGATGCTTCACCGTCCAGCTGTGAGAGAGGGCACAGGGGAGGCGGGCTCTGGGACCTGCTGGCATTCTTGGGCATCTCCCAGGCCAGCCTGACCCCAGGGAGCAGGAAACCTGATCACAGCACCCTCATATCCAGGGAACCCCGGTTTGGGCACTGGGCCCTCACTGGGCACCTTATAGTCTCGGTTCCCATCACCCCCTTGGCAGGCGATGCATTCTGAACTCTGTGTTGCGGTGGGGAAACTGAGGCTCAAGAAGGGAAGTGAGGTGCCCAATGTCAAGCATAAAGAAGCTCTGGGCCAGGGTGACTCTGAGCCCCTGAGTTACACCATCTCCCCCACTGCCCAGAAGCGGGGATCAGATTCTCGGGGCCTGGGGTCTCGCCTCCTCCCAGGGGAAGAGGCTCAGCAGAGGAACAATAATAGCTGCTACTTGTGAACACCTACTACGTGTAAGCCAGGCCTGGCCAAAGCCTGTGCTGTGTGTTAGGGGCATTCTCTGGGCAGGTGACTAACTGTGTGTTTACAGAGCAAGAAACTGAGGCCCAGAGAGGCAAAGTCATTTTCTCCAGGTCCCACAGCAAGGAAGGCTGGAGGAGGGAATCCATCGCAGGCCCAGGCCTGCCCACTCACCTGCAGTTGTGCTGGAGCTGCTCTGTCCAATGTACCACCCACGGAAGTTGCCTGCCAGGTGGAGGGGCAAAGGGTTAGAAAGCACAGAGTGTGGGGCCCCCTCCCCTGGGGACCAGCCCCCAAGCACTCACCCAGCGTCTCCAGGGGCTGCCGAGTGGGGCCCTTAGGGGGCGCTAGCTCATAAATGTTGATGCCTGAAAGGGGCAGGTGATACACAGAGCCTCAGGCCTGCTGGAGCTGCCCCTGTCCACCCTCTCCCTGCACCCTACCTCCAGGGCCCCTCCGAAGGGCAGGAAGCTGTGCCACCCCCCAGGCCAGACCAGTCTGGCAGGGGTGAGTGAGCCAGGGCCCAGGGAGAGCCCTGAGAATGTCCTGGGGGAGAGGGACCAGGTGCGTTCTGGTGAGGCAGAGACAGAGGGACAGGGGGGCACCCAGAAAAAGGCACTTAGAATATAGGCAGAGGGAGGAGGGCGGCGGGGTCG